TTCTGAAGAGCCCACGTGTACTACTCTTCATAGGAGGATGTGCCCACAGGTCCAGAGGGGAGTTTTAATGACTGGGAAGAAAAACCGGCTAATGAGAGAGGATGGTGGGGCAGTGGCTGGAGAGGACGGATTATTATTGCACAAACAGAATAAAACAAAACCACGGCCCTCTTGTCCTGGAAGGGGTCCTGAGTCCTCGGTCCAGTGTGGGAAGCCTCAGGGAAAAGGCCAGAACTGACCCTGGGCTGATAGACCCCTGGGTACACTCTTGCAGCTTTAGAATACTGGCACCTGTCAGACCCACTCCAGGCCCCCATGTTAACGCCATCCTTGGTTCCTCAGGGCACTCCGACATTAGGGACACTCCCACCCCATCTTTACTCTGATATCTGACCTTATGTTCCCGAGAGTCCAAGTCCTGTTTGTTTTTACATTTTATTGGAGTTTAGCTGCTTTAGAGTATCATGTTGGTTTCTGCTGTACAGTGAAGTGAATCTGCTATTCGCATACGTATATCCTCTCCTTTTTGGATTTCTTTTCCATTTAGGTTACCACAGAGCACTGGATAGGGTTCCCTGAGCTATACTGTAGGTTCTCTTCAGTTATCTATTTTATACATAGTATTAATAGAGTATATATGTTAATTAATCCCAATCTCCCAATTCATCCCACCCCCGCTTTCCCCCTTGGCATCCATATGTTTGCTCTCTATGTCTGTGTCTCTATTTCTGCTTTGCAAATAATATCATCTATACCATATTTCTAGATTCCACATGCATGTGTTAATATCTGGTATTTGTTTTTCTCTTCCTGACTTACTTCACTGTATGATAATCTCAAGGTCCACCCACATCTCTGCAAATGACCCAGTTTCGTTCCTTTTTTTTTATGACAAGTAATATTCCATTGTGTTATATGGACCACAACTTATGTATCCATTCATCTGATGTCCATCAACAGAGGAATCCAAGTCCCTGACCTTGGCCTCTTCTCCTCATTTCAGGGTTCCCTGGGGGCTCGCCTGCCTCAGTCCTGGGTGTTGTTGATTCCCATCTCCTGGTCCTGACATGTCTGTGGCTCCAGCAACACCAGGACCCCTCCTTCCCCTGCCCCCACACCTTGCACCAGCAGGGCCTCCTCCTGCTACAGCTTCTCTGGTTCCAATGCCACTGTTGCTATGGCAATGGCTCCAGGCTTTGCAGCCGCTGTCCTTGAGACAGTTGCCCACAAAGAGATTAAAGCACTGTCAGCCAACCTTGAACAGAGTAATGTCTCAAACAAGGCTCCCAACATGTAGCCTTGATGTTATCTCTACCACTCCATTGGGAAACTTAGCATAATCTCCCAGGGGACAAGGCCAAATGGTCTTAAAGGACACCAAGCATTTGCTTCTGGAGGCAGGTCATCTGAGATAGCCCTGAGATTCTCCCTTGAATCTTAGCCACCTGCACCGTGATGTCCCCCCCACCCCAAGGTTTCTTACAGGGTGCATACAAGTCAAAGCACCTAAAGAGACATCAACATCTGAGCCAAATGAAACTCCAGAGGAAGACAGGTTGTTATCTAGCCTAACTTGGTAGGCACTTAGCAATTTTGAAGAAAGCAAAATCTGCCTTGAAATGCCAACCAGCCCCAATCTATGACCTTCCCCTTTCCTTCACTCGGGAAGATTTGAACTTCAGGTCGTTAGCAACAGGTACCACTGAGTGTCCTTGCTCTTAGGTTTTAGTTTCCTTATTACTGGTATGTAAGTTGCACCTCATCTTTTTTACCCCAGACAAAAAAAGCTAAACAGATGAAATGAGCTAAAATGAGCTAAGTTGTTGATTAGTGAGCAAAAGACTTTCATCCTTTTCTCCCTTTTCTCCTCCTCTTGCATAATTGGGGTAGAGGAGAAAAGAAGAAAAAAATGCTGGAATAAAGATCAAATGAAATGGGAATACAAAACACACCCGTTAGACAACTTGGATCCTCCCTTTAATTTCTGGTGGCTTTAAAGCCAGTATGGGTCAAATTGAAATACACAAAAACATATAGTGCTTAGTTTCCTTCCCAAATAGGGAAAACTTGAAACAACACAGTTGTCCTTCTCTTCAGTTATACACCTTATGTTGGACCTCTAATAAAAATTACGGGCTCACGACTCTACTAAACTTTACATATGCTGTGAAAAGAAAATAAAGAAGCACCATCATTACACTTTGACTCTATAAAGTTCTTTTAAATTCAGTATAACAAGTAATTTAGGTAAGCCAACTACTTTGCTCTGTACCATGAAATTGAAAATAGAGACTGTCTACCTTTAGAAACTACCAAGATATGATTCTGAGCCTTCCCCTGTAATAATTTACTGTCTGACCCTTCACAAGGTATTTTGTTTCCCAGGCTCCATTCTCTTCAGAGGAAACTAATACCTTCTCCATCTACTTCACTGGGAAGCAAAAAGGAAATAGTAGGTGAAAAAGGAAATAGTAGATAGACACTCGATAAAATTGTGCTTGCTATATGTAAAGATGCTGCGTTATTTATTTCCAAGCAGCTTTATTCACATTATTCTAGGTGAGTAATTCTGAGTGAGGCTGTGCCATTTCCTTTAGAATAGAAGCAAATGCTGTTAAGTTTTTATGCTAAAAGTCTGCAGAAGAACATTTCTGTGAGTGGGTAATGTTTAGGATATGGGGATTTGTTGAGACACTGGGAGTTGAAACTTGATTATGAATTCTCAGCCCACAAAGCAGAGAGATGATTCACAGGGGAATAGTAAATTCAAGTACCGAACACATGAACAGCAACTCAGCGTCACATACTGTTCCACTGCTTGGGGAGGCAAAACATGTTGGGGGTCTCAGGTTCAGTGATTCACGAGGAAGACCTACAAGACACAGTAGACAGTTGAGGCTATGATTCATTACAGTGAAAGAATGCAAAACAAAATCAGCAAGGGACAAGGGGCAAAATCTAGAGGAAAACAGGCATAAGCTCCCAAGAATCCTCTCCCAGTAGACTCACAGACAATGCAGTTAGTTCCTCCCAAAATGAGCTGTGACGGCACTTTGTTGTCTACCCAGAAAGCTTGTTTTAGAAAGTTGGTGCCCAAAGTTTTTTGCTGGGAGCTGGTCACAGGGACACTGTCTGCCTAACCCGTACCAAAGTTCTGGACTCTCAGAGGGAAAGCAGATGTTCAGCATAGAGCACATTGTTTGCACAAATAGTTTAGACCAGAGAGACATTCTTATCAGGAAATTGTGGGAACCCGCTTGAAATCCAAGTTCCCAGACTTCAGCCAAGGTCCAAACTTTATGCAAGCTTTTCGAGGTCTAGTATTCTCAGGTCTGCTTTATTAACCCTTTTATGCACAGAGAGGTTTAAATAATTGATTGCAATACAGTTGCATAAATACAATGATGAATTCATTCAATGAAAGTCACTGAGCCTTTAAGGGTCAGATAGGAATGAGATAAATTAGACATTGTTGCTGCACTTTGCCAAACTCAACTCAGCACCCCAATTGCTCTCTGCCCACTGGCAGGTTGTGCTGTCCATAAAAAGCTCTGTGATTGTGCTCCAAAGTCCACCTCCAGGCCTCCTTGCAGAACTCACGGCACATCCCAGCGGTGTTTCCTGTCTGTTGTATAACTTCTTCTGCTTAGCTCTTCAGGCGGGTGTTTAGGCTACCTTCCTCTTCGACTTAACTGGATTCTGGCACAGCCCCACCTCCACCAAGATTCCCAACACCCCACATTTCATCTGGCCTCTCTGGTCCCATCATTCATTAAGGGAGTTGCCTCATTAGTGTTGGAAGCGCTAGTCCCTGGGTCTTATCCACATCCTTCAGATGATAACTTGGTAGGCACTTAGTTTCTACCCACAGCCTTTGGGTAACTCTCACCCCATGGCCAACTGCTGGGGAGATATGCTGAGCTATGTACTACAGATTTCATTACCCTTCATAGTGGAATCCTCTTATGTGGAAGCTCTACATGCTGAGACTGACCATAACCAGTGCCTTCAGCAGCTCTGTAGATACTTATTCCTACTAGAGAGATTTGCCCCCCAATCCTGCCCTCTTTCCTCTTTCAGGGATGGTCATAGCAGAAGTACCAAGCTTCAGGTATTCGTGAGGTTCAAATAAGGGGATAGGAATGAATGGAGAGAGCATGTATCATTTTCTTGGGCTCAAAATTAGCATCATGTTCAAGGATCCAGCCAGAGTTGCAAAAATTCAGCTTCCTACCAATTTATCTTTCTGGGTTACTTCCCTCTGTATAATGGGCTCCAGTTTCATCCATCTCATTAGAACTGATCCAAATGAATTCTTTTTAATGGCTTGCCCCATGTATTCATATACCCAGAGATTTCTGGGAACTCCCAGATACTGATTTCTGCTCAGATTCAGTTTTCTTGCCCTGGTGGATCTCCTTCCCAAAAGGCAGAGATACGAAATAGCCTTCCAGAATGTTCAGAAATTGTTTATAGTGACTCAGCTGACAAGAAAAAGCCACCAAGAAATTAAGCTGGTGTGTCAGGAGCCAGGTCCTAGAAAGGTGCAAATGCCACGCCATGGGCACTTGAGAGCCAACAGCCATGACCAGACTTGCATTTTAGAAAGGCCCCAGGCAGCTGGAGGGAGACGAGATGGAGACTGAGAGATAAGATGAGAAATTTTCATAATAATCTTATAAGAGGTGGTGGGGCCTCAATAAGACCTGAGACAGCAGGCCTAGAAACAAGGGGACAGCCCTGAGGGACAGTTAGGAGATCCAATAACCAGGAGTGGGAGCCGGAGTTGGGAGGACAGAAGAGGGGAACATGACTCCCTGCTCTCAGTCTGGGAATCAGCAGACTGAGCAGCCCCTCCTTTGAGATGAAGATTACATGGGGGTTCATGTTGAATCCAAACAGCTTTGAGCTATAGTCCACCCCTATCCCTTCACCCTCCTCAAATATCTGAAGACTTCTCACTGGGTTTTGTTTGATTGATTTTGGTTTTTCATTTAAAGGTCCAGAAATGCCCTTGGTGTGTTTGACAGACTTTCAGGCGCATGCTCGGGAGCACCTCTCTAAGTCAACTTGGGATTTTATCGAAGGTGGAGCTGATGACTGCTGCACGCGGGATGAGAACATGGCAGCGTTTAAAAAGTCTGGTCTTCCGTATCCTTTCTATTGCTAAGCTAAGGTGCACAGGTTGAAAGCTCCTTGGAAGGTAGCAGTCCTGGTTTCTGCCTCCAAAGAACAGAGTATTCAAAACATCATAATAGGCTTTTGTTGGTGGGTGGGGATTTGGGGGTTTTCCTCCGCAGGTGAGTGGGTAACTGGGGACAAGATGGTTGGAGAGAAGTTTCATCTTAGTGCCTCTGCACAGCTAGCACAAGTGAGTCACCCTCTGCTGATCATGGTGACTCTGCCACTCGAAAATATAGCACAACAGTCTCAGGGTCTCCAGCCCCCTGGGCAGGGAGGAGAAGCCAGCTGGGTAAGCCTAAATCTCCTGAATGCCCGAACTTTCGGCTTGGAGGTATAACAGGAGAGAGGGCTCAACGCTGGAGGAAATATGGAGACCCAAGGAGTCTTGGGGAGAACAGGAGATTGATTCAAAAGAGAAGAGCTGGGCTGGCACAACAGTGGTAAAGTAGGGGTCAGTAAACAGGTCAGGTCAGGTCAGGCCCGCTGCCTATTTCTGGATGGTCNGGCTCAACGCTGGAGGAAATATGGAGACCCAAGGAGTCTTGGGGAGAACAGGAGATTGATTCAAAAGAGAAGAGCTGGGCTGGCACAACAGTGGTGAAGTGGGGGTCAGTAAACAGGTCAGGTCAGGTCAGGCCCGCTGCCTATTTCTGGATGGTCAGGTCAGGCCCATTGTTTCTGGATGGTCCACAAGCTAAGGCTGGGCTTTTTTTCATTTTTAAATCATTGACAAAAATCAAAAAACGAATTACAATATGTCAAAATTATATGAAATTTCAGTTTCAATGTCCATAAATAAAATTGTATTAAAACAGAGCCATGCTCACTCATCTACATCTTATCAGTGGTTGCTGTGATGTTACAACAGCAGAGCCAAGTGATTGTGACAAAGACCTCATGGCACGCAGCCTAAAATATATACCATCTAATCCTTTACGGAAAATGTTTGCTGACCTCTGTGATACTGAGGCCAGAAAACACTGGGAAATGGGATGCAAGCTGAACACTACCTTCTGTGTTTTCATACGTGTTGAGCACTATATTAAGCACTTTAATTGCTTCTTCTCATGTGTCTTCACAAGGCTATTAGGAAAGCCGAATTATCACTCCCATTTCACAGATCAAGTAACTGAGGCTCTCTGACCCAAGTTTGCACAATCAGCATTTCCAGAAAAATTTTTCTCAGTTTATGTACAGGAATAATAGTATTTTGTGGAAAACAAGCACTTTGGACCCCGAAGCTAACTAAGTCTCTGTTGGGACTTACAAATGTGTTTCATATAATCAATACTTGTTAATTTCCCTACTTTCTTCTAAAGTAGTGTTTAAGTCAGATCTTCAATGAATTAGCCTCTAACCAAAAAAAAAAAAAAAATGTGATCATTCTCTGGGATTTGTCCTCTTGCAATGACTTTTTCTTGCCTTATAGAGACTTCTGTCTGGGCTTCTGTAGTGCCTCAGATAGTAAAGAATCTGCCTATAATGCAGGAGACCTGGGTTTGTCTCCTGGGTCATGATGATCCCTGGAGGAGGAAATGGCAACCCCCTCCAGTATTCTTGCCTGGGAAATCTTGGCAAGATTTCCAGAGGAGCTTGGCATGCTACATCCATGGGGTCACACAGAGTCGGACATTACTGAGCAACACACACACATACACACACACAGAGACTTATGTTTAACCTAAGAGAGAGGAGCCTAGAACTATGCCCTGCTCATTTATATCCATTCTAGTTCTTGTTATGATGTATCAATCAAGGCCTCCACAAGCTGAGAGTCTGGTCATGGAGGCATGGCTCCAAGACACAGACCTCTGACTGAGCAGGCAGGGAACAGAAAGACTATGTGCAGTGGGAGTTCAGGGAAGGCCAGGGTAATGGGAATAGGGGGTTGGAAGAGGCTTCCCAGGAGAAAGGAGCCTCCTGCTTGTCTATACTGCCTCATCAGCCAACTGACCCTGCAAGTGATTTCTTGGTACCCAGCGAGGTCCTAGACCTGTGCCAGGAATCCGGAGGTCCCAGCAGCACCGTCATGCTGGAGAATGATCCCACCAACAGAACATCCCTTTGTTGTCCAGCACAGAATCCGCCTCCGTCCCCGGTATCTGAGAGATGTGTCTAAGGTGGACACGCGGACCACCATCCAAGGAGCAGAGATCAGCGCTCCCATTTGCATCGCACCCACAGGTTTCCACCGCCTCGCCTGGCCTGATGGAGAAATGAGCACAGCCAGAGGTGTGAGCTGCCCCCACCTTGAGGCTCCCCTCCCAAGGCCCTTTAGGTGTGCAGAGGCACCCTTCAGGGCAGGGGCAACCAGCTTCTCCATGGAAGGGGCTTAGGGACATGAACCTGCTTGGAATCAAGGGTAGGAAAAGGAATGGTTAAAGCTACATTTGCATAACCTTTCACCTAAGATTGAGGAAATACCAGTTTTCCATTATTAAGAATGGTTAGGGTGGGAGGGAGCTACAGATGAATAGGAGAGTATGAAAGCCCCACCAAGCCATCCCAAGAAAGGGGCACTGGCCCTGTCGGGGAAGGGCTGCTTAGTGTGGCCACAAGGGGGAGGCCTTTCTTTGAACCCTAGTGGGCCAGGGCTGGGGCTGAATGCCGACTCTCTGAATCCAGGACGAGGAGACAGTCATGACCTTACTCCTAACACAAGATCCTGGCAGGTGCTCTTGTTCAAATGTTCCATTTCTCTTCTCCTCTGGGAAAGGTTGAGGGCAGGAGGAGAAGGGGATGACAGAGGATGAGATGGTTGGATGGCATCACTGACTCAGGGGACATGAGTTCAAGCAAACTCAGGGTGATAATGAAGAATAGGGAAACCTGGCATGCTGCAGTCCATGGGTTGCAAAGAACTGGACACAACTTAACGACCAAAAAACCACAGTTGATTTGATCATCTTATTTGACAAAAAGTTTTTCATTGGGTTTTGTCTTCTCCCTAGTCCCCTCTTAGCCTCTTCCCTCATTCACCACCACCAAAAAATAAGAAGAGAGGGACGGGCAGGGGCAAAAACATTCCTGGGATTCATTTGTCATCTTCAACTGAAACCAAATCTTTTTTTTCTCAAGTTGCCCAAGGCTTCCCTGGGGTCTTTTCCTTTGACTCTGTGATATAGGAAGTGATGAATCCAAGGATTCTAGAGTTAAAGCAACACCCATCTGGTTAGGAACAAATTTGGCTGAGTTGAAATATGAATACCCTGTATGAATATGACTGCTTTACTAAATCTTCATGGTTGAGGGTGTTGGGTTGTTTGGGGCAGGAGAAAGCAATATCTCCTGTTGATGTTAGGAACTGAAAATATTAATTGTGATGAGGTCAAATTCTCTACCCGTGAGTTGTAGAATGGTAGTGACATTAACTTCTTGGGGTTTATAAGAGTTTATAAGACAAGCTATACAGTGGAGGACCCAGACAGTCTGATCAAACAGCTCTGATGCCTGCCCGATAGGGAAGAAGAATGAAGTCAAGCTCTGTCTTCACTCACAGGCAAGCTGGCCAGAGGGAACCCAGACTTACAGGGCATTTCACCCCAGTTCAGAATGCCGCTGCCCTCCAACCTGAGCTGTATCACTTGCTTTGCAGCTGCACAAGCAGCCAGTGTCTGCTACATCACCAGCATGTATGCCAGCTGCAGCCTTGAAGACATCGTCGCTGCCGCCCCCAGGGGCCTGCGCTGGTTCCAACTCTATGTGCACCCGAACCGGCAGATAAACAAACAGCTAATCCAGAAGGTGGAATCCCTGGGTTTCAAAGCTCTGGTCATTACTGTGGATGTACCCAAAGTTGGCAACAGACGGCATGACATTACAAACCAAGTCAACTTGATGCAGAATTTATGGTTGAAAGATCTCGGATCACCTGAGACGGTAGGAAAGATACCAGAGCCGGGAGGGCAGGTGTAACAGGAGGCAGATTTCCATCCCTTTTTCCTCTCTTCTTTCTTTCCTCAAGAAATCATTGTTCTGTGCCTGTTCTGTGCCAGGCACTAGGGATGCAGTAGTTCAAAAAGCAGATGGAGTTCCTGCAGCTCAGAACTTTCAGACAAGCAGAATATAAGACATTGTTCTCACCTCTGGAGCTGGCCAGCCTGTCCCCAGAAGTATTCTGGGCCGGGCTGGGTATTAGGAAATAAGAAAGCTAGGGAAAGGATTTTTTTTTTTTTTTTCCATGAAACAGGAGAGTAAAAGTTTCTTCCAACATTTTCTACTTTATGGCACGCTTAGAAAACGATCACACATAGATAAACAGACCAATCTGAAGAAGACGCTCCTATTCAAGGTGCATGCCTATGGGGCAGGACTGCCTTGAACACTGGGCAACAATATCTCTGCATGCCTGGAACTCATCCATGGGGCACCAGAGAGCTACAGCGTAGTTTTTTGGACAAGGTGACTACAAAGGCACTTCCTCCATTAAAATCCTTTAGTCCAATGGGATGAAGTGTCCCAGAGAGAAAAGACTGTGGTAAAGTTGGAATCCCTTAACTGCATTACAGATAATGGTACCAGCCTTCTCAGCCAATGAGCAACTGCAATACCCAGACAAGTGACTCAATAGTTCTACCCTTTAGCCACAAATTGGCCTTGAGGGTTTCTAGAATCTTAGCTCAGATTCCAGGGACACCTTGGGGCCTATAGATATTTGATTCACATGGTGAGCCAAGATAAATATTGGGCAATATTTGACTTGGGCTTCCCAAATGACTCAGTGGTAAAGAATCTGCCTGCCAATGCAGGAGACACAGGAGATGTGAGTTTGATACTTGGATGGGGAAGAGCCACTGGAAAAGGGAATGACAACCCACTGCAGTATTCTTGCCTGGGCAATTCCATGGAAAGAGGAGCCTGGTAGGCTACAGTTCAGAGGGTCACAAAGAGTCAGACATGACTGAGCAGACACGCAATATCTGACTTAAGATTATTGAAGTATTGCTTAGTTATTGTTACCTGGTACATATCTCAGTAACAACAATCACATTGGCCTACAAATGCTTTTGCTTATCTATCTCACTTAATAAACTCTGAGATTTGCGGGGGGGGGTTTTGAAATTAAGGACTGTGTCTCATTTGTCTTTGTGTTCCCAGGTCTTAGCAAAATTATTGAGCAGGGATGCAAGTAATGGTTAAAAAATAAGCAATGGGAGTAGAAATTCTTCAACAAAAGTTTTGTTTGGAACGGAGCTAGGAGTAGCATTGGGTTTTATGGTTCCTCTTTTCAAGCTTACAAATGGCGGCTTTTCAAATGTGCCTCGTGTTTGGAATGAGAGTCTCAAAGGAATTCAAGACTAAGGTTCTTTTTTATTCCCCTCAGGGAAATTCAATGCCTTATTTCCAAATGTCCCCAATTGACCCATCCATCTGCTGGGAAGATCTCTCTTGGTTTCAGAGCATGACTCGATTGCCCATCATCCTCAAGGGAATCCTGACAAAAGAGGACGCAGAGTTAGCTGTGAAGCACAATGTCCATGGCATCATTGTTTCCAACCATGGTGGGAGGCAGCTTGATGAGGTTCCTGCCTCTGTGAGTAGAATGACTTCAGAGTGGGTGTCTTTGTAAGTGCTGTGTGTGTGCACGTGCGTTTGTATGTATGTGTCCACAGCAAGGCACTCTGTGAAACTTGGTGCTCGTTCCCCTCTCCCTAACCAACTGTATTGGTAATATGTATATATTGGAAGGACTTTTAATCATTAATAATAGTCTAGTGTGTGCCGGGTTATTTTTACAAACTCAACATATGTCATCTCTAAAGTGCACAACAGCCCTGCATTACTATCCCTACTTAACAGATGAGGACACTGTAAGCTGTAGAGATGTTAAGTAGCTTGTGAGTTCACACAGTTAATAAGTGGTTAAGGTGAAATTTGATAGAAGAGCTGTTCCCAAGGCATAGAGGTCATCTGCCTTCTGAAAGAAGCATTCAGCTGGAAGTTTGCCTGTCCGCATGAATTGGAACCTCATATTTTCTCATATGACATATCTCAGGAAGAAATGGTGCCTCACTTAAGCTAACAAATAACTTTCATGGTAAAACTTTAAAATTCCCTCTGAATCCTTTGCTAAAAATCCAAGACAGTCTAAATTTTTCCCTAACTTATGAATTTGTCCATTAGAGATGGAGTCTGGGGAAAGAAAATGAAAAGCAGGGAGGCAGGGAAAGAATTTTTAAAGGAAGTTCATTGATGTTCATGGATATTGATACCTTGTATTTTTTCAAGGGATTCTTCTATGCTGCTTGACTCATTCTGAGAAATGGAAATGAGTTTTTTTCCTCTTTTTTTTTTTTTTTTGGTCTTTTAAGTATGACATATTCACTGCAAGTAAATTGTAAAATATACATAAACAAAAAGAATTAAGATAAAAATCATTACTATTAATGACAATAGTTTGATAATCAATTTAGTGTAAATGTAACATTTTAGGTTTGAAAACTATATATGATATTGTGCAATTTTCTTCTCTTCATTTATCAATATATCAAGAGCATCATTTTACTTCAATAAATTTGCTTTTTTTGTTTTTAATGGTGTATAGTATGAAAGGACAATTTATACGACCAACTTCCTACTGTTGAACATTTGGATTGCTTCCAAGGATTCGGTCTTTTAAACAATACATCAGTGACCATCCTGAAATCTTCAGCACATTCTCAATTTCTCCTTTAAAAAGAATTACAGGAAATAGAAAAAGCTACATCAGCCAGTTTATACATTTCAAGGCTTATGAAACTTGGAGGTTTCAAATGCCAATCACCGGCCTCCTCCTCTCTGCCAGGTTCTACCTCATAGCAAACAAGCACGGATTGAACTACAGGGAATGGTCAAGCCTCCTACTTCCCATCCCAACTCCTGACTTTAGGAGAATGTAGGTCTTCAGAACATGTGCTGAGCTTTCTCATCCAACTCCTGCAAGGATACCATAAAGCCATCTCTCACGCATCCAGTAATTGATGGGAAGAGGGTGCAGAGCATAGCAGGTCCTGAGCTGACCCAACTGTGCTGACAATAGGAACAGAAAGCAAAGAGCCCCTCACCAACCAGCAGCAAACAGGGTAGAATGCTGACTTTTAAAATAACACTAATAGAACATTATACAATCAGCTGTCTCTCATTAATCAGTTTAGCTAGTCTTGCTCCCTCAGGGAGTTCTGAGAGAGGAGTGGGGATAAGTGGCCCACTAATTTTCCCACTGCACTTCCTCAATAAAGAATGAGCAGTGATGAAGGCAGGTGCCAGAACAAGAAGAGTTTCTTCTGCTCCATCACACTGATCAACACCCTGTTCTCCCAAGCCATCTGACCTAACAGCCAAACCCAAGATCATCCAGGGACATTACCAAGATTAGTGGGAGGCTAGTGAGAGACCCACCCTTGGCTCAAAATTCAAGAACATGCCAGAAAAACTGAATTAGGAATAATAGTTTCATGCACTATTTGAAAAATGAAAATTAATGCAGAAAAATCCACAGTGAATAGCAACAGTTTTAATAAAGATAGGATCTGATCCTACACTTGCATAACGTTGCCTCACTCATTTCACTGTAACCCTGGACCTGGTTCCAATAAAGCTTTATTTATAAAAGCAAGACCCCAGCTTGCAGGTCAAAGTTTGCCATTTGATTTTTGTAAACGTTATACTCAAATATTATTTATATTTTTGACACCCTTTAAACTTTGTGCAGGGGGTAAGTCGCTCACCCTTCTCAACCCAGTCCCTCCTTGTGAGGGGTGTGACTATCTCAGTGATAATCCATCTCTGTAATGTTCCATATCTAACACTCCTGTGCTTCCTTCCAGAACCAGGGGAAAGCTAGCTTTTGTCCCCAGAAGGCTGTAATGAATGCCCTACTGTAGCTTATCAAAAGCTAACTCTCAAGCCATACTGAATGAACCCTAGGCTGAAATTTACCCCCTATTGTGTTTCTTAAACTACTGCCAGTTCCATTGTCCAATATGGCTCACTAGAAGGGCTTCCCTGGTAGCTCAGACAGTAAAGAATCCCCCTGCAATGAGGGAGACCTGGGTTGACTCCCTGGGTTTGGAAGATCCCCTGGAGGAGGGCATGGCTACCCATTCCAGTATACTTGCCTGGAGAATCCCCATGGACAGAGGAGGCTGGCAGGGTGCAGTTTATGGGTTCGCAAAGAGTCAGACACGACTGAGCAACTAAGGGCACAGCGCAGAAGAGTTTGCACAAGTACATTTCTTTCTTTCTCACAGCATGCCAGTACAGGAGACATGGGTTCGATCCCTGCATCAGGAAGATCCCACAGGCCACAGAGCAACTAAGCCCAAGTGCCACAGCTATTGAGCCTTTTGTAGAAATGTTCCAAATAACACCATGGTGGGACTGTAAAAATACCCTGATTTAGATGCACATTCTCTCCAGTCTTTACATGTACGTTAACAAAATGTTCAATTCACCCACCCACTTGGAAAATACAAAGCTCTTTCCTCCCTGATTTCATACTCTGCTCAGTCTCACCAAAGGATCTCATCCGGGCAGAATTCAATCCACTCCTTCCGCTGCAGATTCTGCTCCTCTTCAGTCATTCCTCAAAGAGACAGAACAGGAGCCCTGAGGCAGTTCCAGAAACTTTTCCTGCAGGACCCTCCCCCCAGACTCTGCCCTCACTTCTTACAGACTTGGAGGTACCCAGGAACATAGCTCAATCTGGGGCACCTTAGGTCCACAGGGCTGTTGACCACACAGCTGGGAATGAAAGAGAAAAGCTAGGAGAAAAGATCCAATGGAGAGAGGCGGCCAGAGTGATCAGGCATTTTTTGCTTTGTCTTTCTAACGCTTCAACCCTGCCCTTACAATGTCACTGCTGCCTTTCTATCCCCGTCTCAGATAACCCGTAAGGGAGTTAGGAACAAGTAGCTCAAATGTGTTGTGTCAGGAATAAGTTACAGCCCAGTTACATGGAACAGGCTGTGGTTCAGACACTAGGGTCACTGTTGATCACACTTGTTTTGCCAAAAAGACTTAGGGCCTTAGCAATGGGGAACATTTCTACTCATTCCACCTTAGAAGCAGAGAAGGTGGAAGAGAATCAAAAGTCAAAATTTTCTTTAAAATGAAGAACATTAAAATGTGTGCAGCCTGGATGGGAGGGGAGTTTGGGGGGTGAACAGATACATGTATAGCTGAATCCTTTTGCTGTCTACTTGAAACTATCACAACATTGCTAATTGGCTATACCCCAATATAAAATGCTTGTAAAAAATAAAATGAAATAAAAAGAACAGGTGGCACCAGTGCTAAAGAATCCCCCTGCCAATACAGGAAAAACAAGAAACCTGGGTTCAATACCTGGGTTGGGAAGATCCCCTGGAGGAGGGCATGGCAACCTGCTCCAGTATTCTTGCCTGGAGAATCCCATGGCAGAGGAGCCTGGCGGGCTACAGTCATGGGGCAGTAAAGAGTCAGACGCAACTGAGTGACTCAGCACACAAAAGCCAACACTACAAGTGGGAAATGCTCCCTTGGGGATGTTAAGAGATACCAAGAGCTTCTTCCAAGCTGTAAACACCTGAACTCTGTCAGAGCAGGAAATGGCAGGAGGGGGTAGCCTGGAAAGAGTCCCTGGGCCTTGGGAATGTAGCTACTCTGCTTTGACAGCACCGGCAGCCTCATGCATGGAACCATGAAGCATTGCCCCAGCTTAGACCTCCTGGAGCCAGCCAGACCCAGGGGGCAGTGCTGTCCCCTGAGACAGGACTCTCCCCGAGAGTCCAAAGGGAAGTCCCTCGAGCCACACTTGTCTCTTGTTTTCAGATCGATGCCCTGACAGAAGTGGTGGCCGCTGTGAAAGGGAAGGTTGAAGTGTACCTGGATGGTGGGATCCGGACTGGCAACGATGTGCTGAAGGCTCTAGCCCTCGGGGCTAAGTGCGTTTTTGTGGGGAGACCCATCCTGTGGGGTCTTGCTTGCAAGGTGAGAGTGGTAAAATGAAAACCAACCGGAAGGCACCCCACTTCTCGTTTGTTTCCATGTGCTTCTGTGGTTTAACCCCCAAGTTTAACCAGTTTTTGGGGGTGCCGCAGATCCTGAAGGACGGTGTCACCTCGCCTGCCCCTCCACACTTCTTCCACAGCATGTCGTAAATTTTCAAGAGCTCTCACCCCCACAATTTTCCTCTTTGCTTTCCTTTATTCCCAACATAGTTCAAATTTCACAGATAGCCCCCATCCTCCCCGCCACAGCTCTGAGCTCACTTAGAAATACTTTTTAATGTTTATTTACTTTGCTGCACCAGGTCTTAGTTGCAGCACGCAGGATCTTCAGTTCTGTTGTGCCATATGGGTTCTTTAGCGGAGGCACACGAACTCAAGGTGTATGGGATGTAGTTTCCTGACCAAGGATGAAACCCAGGCCCCCTGCATTGACAGCATGGAGTCTTCCAGAGACCACCAGGGAAGTCCCCTCACTTAGTATTGAAACTCAGCCTGTGGTCAGGATGTTCCTTCACGCCTCTCCGTGTCTCCTCTTTTCTCTGTCTTGTGAGCAGGGTGAACATGGTGTTAAGGAAGTTTTGGATATTTTAAAAAATGAATTCCACACTTCCATGACCCTGACAGGTAAGTTTTTACCATTCTTTTACTAACTCAGAACTGAAAGCAGGCTGTATAAAGAACAGAAGCTCGGGTCCTTCCTTCTCACTTGCCTCCCGCAAACCCAGAGAGGGCACAGAGGAAATGCCCGAGACAAAAGTGGAATGAAAATGTTAGTCGCTCAGTCAGGTCTGACTCTTTGTGACCCCGTGGACTGTAGGCCCACCAGGTTCCTCTGTCCGTGGGATTTCCCAGGCAAGAGCACTGGAGTGGGCAGCCATTTCCTCCCCCAGGGGATCTTCCCGACCCAGGGATCGAACCTGAGTCTCTTGCATTACAGACGGATTCTCTACCATGTGAGCCAGTCAAGTACAAACTCAGAATGTGATACATCTGCTACAAAAGCAAATGCAATTTCAGATTGTGGTAAAGAGGGTCCCATTTCACTCTGGCCTGCTCAGATCCCATCAAACTTGTCAGATGTAGTTCTGGGGGTGAACTTTAAGTAAGATTCATGGATTGTGAAGAGTAGAGAAATTAAGTCACGGGGAAAGCATGGAGGAGCTGGGGAGGTGGAAGCAAGCAGGATGACAGAACAGAGAGAAGGAGAAACATCATCCAGGTAACCAGTCAGCAAGACAAACTCAAATGTCTCAAATTTACACACAGGCAGGTATCAGGCAAAACTGAGATGACTGTAAAGCAGTGCTCATAAAAACTTACATGTGTTCAGCAAGTCCATGTGATCACTGGAATCCAGTGATCCTGTGAAATAGTGATTCTCGGCTAATGATGGTAACTTCCCTCTTCAGAATCATTTGGTTTGGGGGTGGGGGGTGGCTTATCTTTTTTTCTCATTGGCACAATGATGCAGGGTTGGTGTTGGAGGTATTCAGTACTCAGGGGTCAAGGATGCTGAATGTCCTAAAATGCTTGGAGCTGTCTCAAACAAAATTGGCCTGCCCAAATGCCAGTCATCAGTAGCTCTGTCTCTGATTGTCTTTGTCTGCTGTAGATGGTAATAGATTATAATGTGAGAGGCAGATAAGATAAACCCAAATAAGACCTCCATTCATGCCTCAATTCTAAAATTTGGTAATAACAGAAACTTCCTCCAGAAGTAACAAAATAATGAATCAAGAGCTCTGAAGAGGAGTCAAGACCATTTTTGTGCCATTGACTTATTTCCACAGATGAAGCTACCAAGTGTCTGCCATCTGCCAGGCTTAAGGAAAGGTGTCCAGGTCTTTTCTAGTCTGGTTTTCATCAGCTATTTAGACAAGTATCTTGTACTCAGCATCCAAGCTACATAGTGTTCCTTGGGGCTGTGACCTCAGCCTTTTGAGCTTAAATAGTATAAGCTAGAAAACTCAGACCAGCATTAATGCCAGTCCCTTTCAACTGAGTAGATTAATAGGAAAAATGGGGGGAAGTGGATTAAGGCATCAAGGACCAGGACTGTCCATTTGGGGCCAATGTCTATGAAGATTAGCCAATAAATAACCCAAGGTTGCCAAGTCTCTCCCGTGAGGGTGAGGAGGGCACAAGTGTGAACAGATACTGTGTTGATGTCTTTTGCCCTTGGGGGGGAGAGAGAGATGGGAAGATCTAGGAGTTTCTGCAGGTTCCAAGAGGTTGAGGTGACTTCTCCTGCTCCCCCAATATTTTCTCCTGTCTTTGTGATACTATGTCTGAACTTTTAAAACAGAAGCCTGGCGGGGGAATTCACAATAACAAAGCTTTTTTATTCCACCAAAAGTTTATACTTAACAACCAATGGGATGGAAATAGAGGCTGGAAAATCTTTTTCTAAAACAGAGGGTAGAGAGCACTCTTTTTAAATGGGGTCAGGAAAAAAAGAAAGAATAAACAGGATGATGAATACTTTTATGCCTAACTTTTTATATTCCTTTCCTTCTAATTTTTCTCCAATGAGAATGTATTGTTTAAATGCAGAGAAAGAATGACTAATCAACAACCAAATATGGGATGGGCAGGAGGGTTTGGGGAAGAAGGGAAAGAAGAAAAAACTTAAGCTGAAGGGCATCCCTCAGCATTCTCTGTGAGTATTGGTCCCGCAGGAAAGACTCCTCAAGCTGGTCCCTGGGGAGAAGGGGGTCTCAGGTGAGGAAGGCTGTGTTTTTGGTGGAACTCACTCAAATAGAAAATCATAATGTGAAACTCCACAGAATTTCACATTCAGTTCAGTTCAGTTCAGTTCAGTCATTCAGTTGTGTCTGACTCTTTGCGATCCCTTGAACCGCAACACACCAGGCCTCCCTGTCCATCACCAACTCCCCGAGTCCACCCAAACCCCCATGTCCATTGAGTCGGTGATGCCATCCAACCATCTTATCCTCTGTCATCCCCTTCTCCTCCTGCCCTCAATCTTTCCCAGCATCAGGGTCTTTTCAAATGACTCAGCTCTTCCCATCAGGTGGCCAAAGTATTGGAGTTTCAGCTTCAACATCAGTCCTTCCAATGCACACCCAGGACTGATCTCCTTTAGGATGGACTGGTTGGATCTCCTTGCAGTCCAAGATTAGCTCTTCCGCACACAATGCATGTAAGATGCTTGACACAAAACCAGCACCCAGGAGGTGATCAGTCAATACAACTTCTCTATCCTAATTCTCCTGGAGATGTGTGACATTTTTCCTCAGTGATCTTGTGACATCGCAGCCCTGAGAAGAGAATCCTATTTGCACTATTGTGAAATCAAAATAAGCTTAGAAATCATCTTTTCCTAATTGTGAGACCATATGCCAAAACTGTGTATATATGAATGTTACAATCCCAGTTTGCCTTGGAAAACAAAACTGTGCACATATAAATCATGTGTGCACAGACCTCACTTAGGTCTCATCTCTTGTAAGGGGCAGGGGCTGAAACAGAAGAGTATATGAATCTTCTTGAGTTTTATTGCTCAAAATTACCTGCTTTGTTTTAATTTAGCCAAAGTGTTTTAGTGTGAATATCCTCCTAATTTACAGTAATGAAAAAACAAGAATACATTGTAATAGTGAATTCACTCTTAAACCTTTAGTGAACCTCTACCAAGAACAAGGCAATGTCCCTAGTATTATGTGGACCAAGACTCCATCTGATGAGCTTATACTGATAAATAGAACAAGTACACAAATAGCACCAGGGTTTAAATGGGAACAGATGCTTAAGTGTCTCAAAATGGTATCACACACTTTGATGCAACTACTGAGACATTTTTACATAGCTTAAATATTTATTTCTACTATAATGTATCAGCAGTTTCTATTTTGGCATTTCTGTGCTCCTTGAGGAAATCTACCCTCTCCAAAGCTCTCTGCCCTGTGGAAACCCAGAGCTGTCAAAATCATTGTCACTTCTGATGAGAGCACCTCTGGCTCCAAATTCCCGCTTCTGCTGACTTAGTTCATTTTATGAGTTATTTATGCATCCTTCACCTGCCATTCCTGTCACCTATCATTAACACCAGGGGCTTCCCTTGTGGCTCAGTAGTAAAGAATCTGCCTGCCAATTCAGGAGACGCGAGTTTGATCCCTTTGTTGAGAAGATCCCCTGGAGAAGGAAAATGGCAACCCACTCCAGTATTCTTGCCTGGGATAATCCCATGGGACAGAGGAGCCTGGCGGGCTACAGTCCACAGCGTTGCAAGATTCAGACATGACTTGGTGAATAAACAAACACAAATAATCAACACAGACATAAAACTCAACTCTTTCCTCTGCTTACATTTTTGGAAAAAGAGCCTCTCATTAATATGCCTCTGCAAATAATACAGTTTTCTAGTTGGGTTTTTGGAGATAACCATACACACATCACAGATGGGGAAGAACTTATGAAATATTACACGCTGTCTTACTCAACTTCTTATCACCGGTGAATTTTCCTGAGTCCACAATTCTGCAGCTGACATTATCTCTTTCTCCCTTCTCTTTTGTCATCTTATCTGGAGTCACTCTCTTCAATTACTGTGTCTCATCTCTATGACAGTCCAGTTTTGCACTTTAATTAAGATCCTCCACTAAAGAAAGATATTCTGCTTTAAAACTTTTTTTTAGAAGACAGTTGTATGAAACATTCACCGCATCTTGTCTGCTTTCCTTGAGCCCTCATCCTTCCTGACTGATACTTCCTGCCTCCTGAAGGCTTATCCAAAGTGTATGCAGTTGCTTCCGTCATGTCTGACTCTTTTGTGACCCATGGACTATAACCACCAGGCTCCTCTGACCATGGGATTCTGCAGGCAAGAATGCTGGAATGGGTTGTCATTTCCTCCTCCAGGGGATCTTCCTGATCCAGGGATCGAACCGACATTCCCTGCATTGCAGGCGGATTCTTTGCCGCTGGGAAAGCCCCAGGGTTTATCTGGATGGCAATACAAGTCAGGTGTTTTCACTGCACACAAACTGACTTTTCAAAAGGCTGAAATACTGCTTTTACATTTTTACCATGCCATTTTGCCATGGCTGTTTTAAAAGAGGACACAGGCACAGATAGGCTCACAGAACAATCCCCAGTGTAATCAGAATTATGGGATATGTTCTGTACGTATAACATCTTAGTAGGGTGAGGACAAGGCTCAAGGCTTTCTACCCCCATGGTGGGGTGGTGACTGAGGTTTCAGAGAAATGAGCTTTTAAACTACATTTTTTTCTTTTCTTAGGTTGCCGATCAGTTGCTGAGATCAATCAGGACCTGATCCAGTTCTCCAGATTGTAAAGAGAGCCGATGGCCTGACTGCAGAGTTTGCCCACAGGAGGAAGACAAAATCACAGTAGGGTGTGTGATGCCCTCTTGCCTCAGTCCCATCCTGGCCAGCAACTTACCCCTGCACCCTCAACCACTCCACTCCAAATCCCTGATCTCCCTCAAATACGCCAATGCTCTTCTTTGCCTCACTGCCTTGTATATGTTGCTCTCTTGCCCAAAATCCTCCTCTGAAAGCAGAGATCTTAAAAGAGCAGATCAGCAATGGCTGAAATAGCTAGTGATTAAAACTATTTGAATATACTATGTTTCTATGAAATAACTATGGAAATCTGTACCCGAGAACAGAAGAGCTATACATATAAAATATTCCCCAACAAAAATCATACTCCTATCTGTAGACAACAGAGAAATAATATAGTTAAAAACATAAGCTTTGGAGTCATACAGACATAAGATTACCAGGACTGTGACTGACAAGCTGTGAGACTTGGGAATGTTTTTTGATCTCTGTTCTTCCAAGTCTTTGTGTATAAAATGAGGTTTATAATACCTAGCCTATTAGGTTGGGAGAAAGATTAAGAGAGATAACATACATAAAGTTCAGAGCACAATGCTTAGCCCCTAAGTTTAAGAGTAGCTTTTGGACTTCCCTGGTGGCCCAGTGGTTAAGACTTCACCTTCTAATGTAGGGGGTGTGGGTTCAAGCTATGGTGGGGGAGTTAAGTTCCCACATGCTGCAGGATGTGGCCCAAAATTAAAATACATAAATAAAACTTGAAAAATTCCTCTTAAAAAAGAAAGAGCTAGTAGCTTTTATGATTATTATTTGGCAAATTCCTATTTATCTTTTCAGATCTTATTCAAATATCACCTATTCTTACCTGGCTACTTGCTAAAGGTTTCCTATTGTGCTTTGCACATTATACTATTACAATCCTTATTATAACGTGTTATGTTTATTGGTCTCTCTCCATAAATATACTTTACATGTCTCTGAGCAAGAAACTATATGCTTGGTACTGGGTTTGGCATATAGCAGCATCTCAATAAACATTTGTAGGATGGATAGATGGGTGGATGGACTGAAAGGGGTGAAAGGAGAGATGGGAAAATGAATAAATGCCGTATCAGAGTAAACCCCCCCCCCCCCAGAACAGCAGTCAGCAAGAATAGACGTCTAGAGCAGGGGCACTTGGCTGAATAAGATCTAGCACTTGAAGACATCAAGGAAGTTAAGGATAAATTCCCAGTATCCTAAATAAATATTGATAATTTCATAACTGGCATTCATGTTCTATCTTGGTCCTTGTTATAGTCTGTTTTCTATACAACAATCATTGACTTTTTTAAGTACAAGCAAATCCTACTAGTTTAGTGCTTAATTCAGTCATTCAGTCATGTCCAACTCTTTGCAAGCCCGTGGACTGCAGAATGCCAGCCTTCTTTGTCCATCACCAACTCCCGGAGCTTGCTTAAACTCATGTCCATCAAGTTGGTGATGCCATCCAACCATCTCATTCTCTGTTATCCCCTTCTCATGCCTTCAATCTTTCCTAGCATCAGGGTCCTTTGTAATGAGTGGGCTCTTTGTATCAGGTGGCCAAAGTATTGGAGCTTCAGCCTCAGCATCAGTCCCTCCAGTGATTATTCAGTACTGATTTCCTTTAGGATTGACTGGTTTGATTTCCTTGCAGTCCAAGGGACACTCAAGAGTCTTCTCCAACACCACAGTTCAAAAGAATCAATTCTTGGGCGCTCAGCTTTCTTTATGGTCCAACTCTCACATTCATACGTGACTACTGGAAAATCCACAGCTTTGACTAGACAAACGTTTGTTGGCAAAGTAATGTCTCTGCTTTTTAATATGCTGTCTAGGTTTGTCATAGGTTTTCTTTCAAGGAGCAAGTGTTTCAATTTCATGGCTGCAGTCACCATCTGCAGTGATTTTGGAACCCAAGAAAATAAAGTCAGCCACTATTTCCATTGTTTCCCCATCTATTTGCCATGAAGTGATGGGACCAGATGCAATGATCTTCGATAGGCAAATCCTATACCTCACCTGTTTCAGGCTTCTATGGCTTCCTATTCCATTCAGTATCAATTCTACACCGAGCACCAGCTCTCCAGGAGATTGCATGATCTGGTTCTTCCTGATTCTTCCTTCAGCCTTCACTCTCCCCTTCCCCCATTATGCCTTAGCCAAAAGGCATCCTTTCTATTCCTTTTTTAAAATAAAATTTATTTTTATTTCTAATTGGAGGATAATGACTTTACAATGGTTGGTCTCTGCTGTACCACAAAGTGAATCAGCTATAAGTATACTCATATCCCCTCCCCCTTGAACCTCCCTCCCACCCACTCCCATCCCACCCCTCTAGGTCATCACAGAGAACCAGCTTGAGTTTCCTGTGTTATACAGCAACTTCCCATTAGTTATCTATTTTGCATATGGTAATGTATATATTTCAACGCTACTCTCTCAGTTCATCCCACCTTCTCCTTCCCCCTCGGTGTCCACAAGTCCATTCTCTACATCTGCATCTCTGTTTCTTAAACAAGTAAAACTCTTTCCTCTGGACTTTCATCCTTATTATTCCCTCTACATAAAATGTCCTTCCCCATCCTCTTCCCATGACTGGCTCTTTCCCTATAGTTAGATCTCAGCTTAGCTCAGACAGTAAAGAATCTGCCTTCAATGCAGAAGACCTGAGTGCAATCCTTGGATTGGGAAGATCCCCTGCAGAAGGGTATGGCAACCCACTCCAGTATTCTTGCCTGGAGAATCCCATGGACAGAGGAGTCTGGCAGGCTACAGTCCATGGGGTTATAAAGAGTCAGACAAGACTGAGCAACTAACTACACTTAAATGTCACCACCCCAATCAGATGAGAGTTCCCTGACCATCCCATCTAGAATAGTCTCTCCTTTACTCATCACATCACCCTGTGTTTTCCCCTCCCAGCACTTAATACAACTGGCAATTAACTTATCCTTTGTTTATTGTTCATTTGCACCAGCACAGCACCCTTTATCAGCTGTGGTCACCTCTTCATTTCCAGAGCATGAACCAGGCCCAGCTCCATGGAAGGCTTTCAATAAATATGTGTTAAATGAATTAATCCAGAAAGACAAAGCTGAATCAAACTGCATTGCCATATATGGAGAAATATAGTGGTCCCAGAGGGAACACAGTTAGTTAGCAACAGAAAGAAGCTGAATCAGACAGTATCTAAGCCAACAGACATGGAAAGTCTCCTATCATTCCTAGGCCAACACTTTTCTGCATGAACTCCTGCCATAACAAAGGTCCCCTGTTGCCCAGATTATCCCATATAACCAAGGTCAAGGGAACATTAGATAGCATGGGAAACATGGAAAGAGAAATCAGTCCTGTGGTAGCCTCCCTGATCATAACTGTTAATGCTCTAACCATCTGCCTAACCCAAAGGTATGGCTTATATGCCACCTATATATTTGTAAAGAGAACGTAAACTATGGTGGCATTAGAGAATCTTGTTTGCCTATACTGGGGTATATTTAAGAGATGTGAACACCCAGACTCCCAAATCATCAATTCCTTTGATTCTTCTCTGAATAAAAGATCTTTAAAGGGCAGATCAGCAATGACTGAAACAGCTCTGTTTTTTTGTACTATATCTTTATGATATAAGTGTGGAAATTTGGACTCTGGACAGAGAGCTATCCACATAAAATATTCCCCAACAAAAATCATACTCCCTATCTATCAGACAGGGCAGAACAGATGAATCAGATGAAAGAAGGAAAGTAAAGTTACTGTAGTTAGAATACTTAAAGAGCAGTAGCCTCTTTATAAAATTGTGGTCTTTGAAAAAAGGCCCAGGAGAGTGAGTTAGATGGCATTGTTAATGGGTTTTAAAAGGAAAAAGGTAATTGACCATGACCCTTGTGCTAGACCCTATCTTTTTATTCAATTAAAAGTTAAAATTGGCTCCTTCATTGTCAGGCTCATGGTCAGTATAAGGCAAGGAGGGTCTTAACTTGGCAGTAAGAATAGGTGCTTGTGCTCAAAGTTTAGGGACACAGTAAGTAAGTGCCATGTCCAAGGGCACCTGCCTGGCTGACACAGAGATCACAGTTGCACAGCTATGGGATAGGAGGCCTAAACGACCATGGGTTTGAAGAAGGCCCTCAACACGCAGATTGGAGAAGAAACATGGGGAACGCTCACAGGATCTAAAAGGGTTATGGCGCAGGGGTGGTCATAGTGTAGACTAATTCACACGCTGCTGCAGGAATCTTCGGGAATTTTTTTTTACTTTAGTTCACAGAGCCAAGACCAAAGACATAAGAGAACAGAAAAGCAAGAGAAAGCCTAAAACATTTGTGCTTGTGACCTAGGATGCTACAGAACCTAAGGGCCCATTAAGGATGCCTATTCTGTGTAGCACGCTGACCTCCAGGAGAGGTAGTAAAAAGAGAGTTTTCAGACAAGAGCTTCGGGTACTCTGGAAACAAATTAAAATAGATTGTATCAGTCCTTGAGGGGCTTCCGGGGTGTAAAGAATCCACCTGCCAATGCAGGAGATGAGGGTTCGATCCCTGGGTTGGGACTATCCCCAGGAGGAGGAAATGGCAACCCACTCCAGTATTCTTGACGGGATAATCCCATGGACAGAGGAGCCTGGGGTTGCCAAGTGTCGGACATGCCTGAGAGACCAAGCATGCACACAGGCATCAGTTCTTGCCCAATAAGTGAGAAAGGAGTTGCAGGCTTTCTCAATAGAGTGCTCAACCAACTAAAGAGATTAAAGTCTTAAAAATAATCTCTTACACAAGGATCCCCAAGAACATGGTCTCTGCCAGTAGAAAGGCTTTGGGCAGACTCCTGAGAGAACTGGACAGCCCAGCCACATCATGTCTAGATGGACTTTGCTCTTCTCTGCCCTCCTCCTCAGCTCCCATATCCCCGTCGCCCATTACGAGTCAGCATCGCATCCCCTGGGACTTACTGCACTTTCTAGAAATTCACTCTCTAGAATTCCACTTCTAGATCACAGAACTATGCCTCAGATACCACTTGTTGAAGTCTCTTCCAATTTGTGTTAAGTCTGTGACTCTGGTCTCATGATTCTCTTATGTCAGAAACCAGATGAGAATATCGCAGTACCACATTGCCCTTCGTGGTCCAAAAGAATAAATAGGCAGCGTTGACAGTAAGGTTTGAAACCAGAGAAATCACTGGTAGAACATCCACTCCCCTAGCCACCTCACCACAATCTCATAAATCAGATTTTATTTTCATGCTAAGATTATCCTGCTGGCTGATGAACATGCAGTAAAACTGGCCAAGTTTCTCTGTAATAACTGTACTTATTACAGGGTACACTGCCGACTGCCCCTTCTAAGTAGGCACAATGGCCAGGAAGCCTCTTCAGTCCTGAAATCACCAGCTGGGATCTTGACTGAGTTGTCCAGACTGGTCTGGGGTAAGAGAGAAACAAGTCGTAATAGCATATGGCTTGAAGGTAATTTGGTGTGCAGATAATGGAGTTTGCTTACTTTACGAGAGAATCTGGTGTAAGTTCTCCCTGGGCACATCTACTTGGGTGATAACTGTACTCTTTTTTCAGTCCTGGACACATGTCTGTGTTATTTTCTGAGTTGCTTTTCCTTCTGGACTCAGAGGGATGGACCTAAGATTCAAAGTGATATGGGCAAAGATGTTATAAAGATAGTGTCCAATGAATCAGAAGTGTGGACAACAGAATGTCCTCAGTTACATGGAGGGATACATATGAAACATCAGAAGGGACTTCTTGGCCTCTAGAGATGTCCTACGTGCCTACGTATTCACTCTCTTCAGTTGTGTCCAACTCTTTGCAGACCTACAGACATAGACCACCAGACTCCTCTGTGCATGGGATTCTCCAGGCAAGAATATTGGAGTGGGATGCCATGCCCTCCTTCAGGGGATCTTCCCAAACCAGGGACTGAACCTGTGTCTCTTGTGTCTCAAGCATTGCAGGTGGGTTCTTTACCACTGGTGCTACTTGGGAAGCCCAAAGATGTCATACACTAGAATGCATTTGTAAAGAAGGCAGAGAAGTCCTCCCCACTAGAAAGTTTCAACAATTGAACAGAACACTGAGTATGTAAAAGAAAAGCAATGTGTTCTGATAAAGAGGATCAGCTTTTGAGTCACTCCAGGGTCAGGCTATCTGGATTCAGATTCTGACTCCACTGTCTTCAAGACACTTAGCAAGACCCAAAACATCTTTTGCTTCTTCTACTAAATAATAATA